CTATATTCCCCCCATCTAAACACCAATTGATCTGCATCCAACACAATCCTTATAAAGTCCCAAATGACTTTTCTTTTGAAATTGACAAGCTGATTCTAAAATTCATATGGAATTGCAAGGGGCCTTGAATGACCAAAACAATCCTGAAGAAAAAAAAAAGTCGAGAACTCACTCTTTCTTACTTAAAAACTTACTACAAAGCAACAGTAATCAAAACAGTGTGGTACTGGCACAAAGATAGACTTTGAGATCCGTGAAACAGAATTAAGAATTCAGAAATACACACTCAGAAATACACACACACACACACACACACACACACACACACACACGCACGCACATATATAGTCAATTGGTTTTTAACAATGATGTCAAACTCATTCAATGGGGAAAACAATTGTGTTTTCAACAAATAATGTGGTGAAAAATGGACATACACATGCAAAAAAATAAAGTTGAACCATTTCCTTACTCTATATATACAAGGTGGATCAAAGACTTAAATGTAACACTAAAACTATAAAGCTGCCAGAAAAGCATGCAGCTAAATCTTAATGGATTTTTAAAAAGAATTCTAAGATATAATACCAAAAGCCTGAGCAACAAAAGAAAAAAACACACAAACAAATTGAACATCGACCTATGGTCACAGTTTCATTCTCGGTCAGGGCATATGCCTGGGTTGTGGGCTTGATCCCCAGTGTGGGGTGTGCAGGAGTCAGCCCATCAGTGATTCTCTCTCATCATTGATGTTTCTCTCTCTCTCTCTCTCTCTCTCTCTCTCTCTCTCTTTTTGTCTCTCTCTCTCTGAAATCAATACAAATATATTTGAAAAAGAAGGAATTAAAGGGGTTAGTGTGTTTTCCCCCCTCCATTTCATTAATTTCTTTTCCCTCCTTCAGTAGACAAATAGTAAAGACTAGGACATCCAAAAGTAATTCATATACAAGGAAAATTAGAAAATCATTGTACAGACCCAAGGAACTATGCAGAGTCAGAAAATACCTGAAAGACCTTACATTTGACCCCAGGCTGATTCTCACCACAGACATAGCTTACATCAACTAAGAAAAACAAAAGAAAAAGAAAACCCTGAGGACCGGGGGGAGGGGGAAAAATCTGATTCCCAAAGTCAAATTAGATATTAGATTCACTATTCAGTTTTCAACAGAAAGCATCACAAGGCATATAAAGAAACAAGAAAGTATGTACCATTCAAAGGCAAAAATAAACCAGCAGACACTGTCTCTGAAAAGGACCTGGTAGCACATCTAATAGACAAAGGCTTTAAAACACTGTCTTACAGATCCTCAGAGAACTAAAGATGTGAAGTGAAAAAATAAATAAATAAGAAAGATGTATGAACAAAACGGAAAATCAATAAATCCTACTAAATAGAAACCAAAGAGAAATCCTGAAGCTGAAAATGACAATAACTGAAATGAAAAATTCACTAGAGTAATTCAAAGGCATATTTAAGCAGACAAAATTGGGAAACTTGGTTATCAAGTTCTGAGTAACAGAAAGAAAAAAGATTGAAGAAAAGTGAACAGAGCCTAAAGGATCTGTGGGATACCATTAAGCAGACCAACATACACATTGTGAGAGTCCTAGAGGGAGAAGACAGAGAGAAAGGGAAAGACAGAATGTTTGAAGAAAAGACAGAAATTTTCCAAATTTTATGGAGGATATGAATGTACAAACATCCAAGAAGCTCAATGAATGTCAAGCAGGATGAATACAAAGACACCCACACCAAGACACATTATAATCTAACTGTCAAAAGACAATGACAAAGAAAGAAGTTTGAAAGCAGTAAAAAAGTGACTTGTCATATTCAAGAGATCCTTAATAAGATTATCAGCAGATTTCTCATCAGAAACTTTAGAGGCTAGATGGCAGTGGGTTTATGCATTTAAAAAGCTAAGAGAGAAAAAACATGTCAACTAAGAATCCTGTATCTGACAAAACTGTCCTTCAAAAGTGAAGAAATCGAGACAATCCCAGGTAAACAAAAGCTGAGAGTTCATTTCCACTAGACTTGCCCAATAAGAATTGCTAAAGGGGGTTCTGCAGGTTGATAGGAAAGGAGATTAGAAAGTAACTAGAAGCTGTATGAAGAAACAAAGATCACAGTAAAGTTAAATATATAGGCGATTATGAAAACTACTATTATTAAATATTTGGTTTGTAATTCTAAATGTTGTTTTCTACATACTTTAAGAGACTAATCCATTAAAAATATTAGTTTATGTTTTTGGACATAAATGTATAGGACTATAAGCTGGTATAATTTAGCTAAATTTTAACTTTAGATTTTTAAAATGTTTTTATTGATTTTTTTATTTTTATTTTTTTAGAGAGAGAGAAACATCGCTGAAAGAGAAACATCATCAATCAGCTGCCTTCTGCACACCCCCTACTGGGGATTGAGCCTGCAACCTGGTCATGTGACCTGACCAGAATCGAACTGTGACTTCTTGGTTCATGGGTTGACATTCAACCACTGAGCCACACCCGTCAGTCTAACTTTTTATTTTTAAAAAATATCTAAAATTTTCAACTGAAATATTATATTCTCATTGAATTGCTTAGGCATTTTATCTCCTGTTTTCTTTGGATAAAAATAAATGAATTAACAGACAGCCTATGCAAATGGAAAGAACTCTGGACTGATTCTGTTTAGAAAAACCTTACTTGTGATTCTATGACTGCCAGTAGCTGGTGATCCTTAGCACCCCACGTCACCTTCTTGGGCTCTCAATTCCTAAAAAAGCTTGAGGTTAATTTATGAATTCACTTGTCTAATGCTTGTTGAATACCTACTATGTGCCAGGCACAAAACAAACTCTAGAAAACAAACTCTAGAAAAACTAAAACAAAATCTTGTCAAAAATTGTGAAGTAGCAACAATGAGTAAATCTAGGTGCTCAGGGATAGTGCAGTGAGCAAAACTGCTACCTTCATGCGATTATAGTCCAGGTTGGGGTTGGGGGTAAATAATAAACAAACTAGCAAATAAACGAGTGTTTGTGTGTGATAAGTGCTTGAGAGTAAAAATAAATCAGGGAATATCCAGGGGATTCTATTTGAGATAAAATGGTGAGGGAAGGGTTGTCTTATTTGGAGTAAATCTAGCTCATTGGAAGGGATGAATATAACCCTATAATCCTGACACCCAAACCAGATGAGCACACACAAATGACAGCAGCAAACACAATGAAGACACTTCACTTAGGAACAGTGACTGAAGAACCCTAAAAAAACTAGTGCCCAAATCCAACAATGCATTTCACAATTCCCATGTCAAGGCCAATGAGGGTTCATGCCAAGACATAACATCAGAAACATCTACCTATGTACTACCCCACATTAATGGACTTAAGAAAAAATCCACAGAATTATCTCAAAAGACACTGACAAAGCATTTGATAAAGTTCAATACCTACACATGATAAAAGTAATTAAGTAATTAATATGCACCAATTCCAATAGAGCAGAGGCTTGTTCTTTTAACTGGTTCATGAACATATCCCAGATGATAAAAACAATGCCTGGATTTAGTAGCCATTAGGTACACATTTGCTTAGTGAATGAACATCAGAAGGAAGGAAAAGGGAGGGAGGGAGGAAAGTTCTTTAGGCTGACAAGGGCAGTCTACCCAAAGCTTACATCATCCTTAATGGAACAAAATCTCAAACATTCCCTTTCAGGTTGGGAACAAGACGAGGGCGCCCTCTCCTGGCCAATGCTCAAAGATGCCCCAGCCAGCAAGGTGGGATTAGAACAGAGGACAGGGACTGGAAGGCAGGCAACAAAACTGTCAGTGTTTGCAACGGCAGTTCCAGTAAAACGATTGCAACCACATTCCTCTCCCTGCAGCAATAACTATAGAGAAAAAGTAACCAAAAATTACATACCACTTACAACAGGAACTAAAACTAGACACTAGAAAGCAACCTAACACAGGAAACAGAAGAGCTTTCTGAAGAGAATTTTAAAATTCTAACCAAGGACATCTTAAAACTAAATAAATGGAGCCTTATGCCATGTTCATGGATGTGATGACTTAATATTGAAAAATGTCAGCTCTCCCCAAATTAATCCATAAATTCAATGCAAATCTTATCAAAACTCCAGCATATTCTCTCTCTCTCTCTCTCTCTCTCTCTCTCTCTCTCTCTCTCTCTTCTTGATAAAGTGAATCTAACATCTGAACAAAGAAGAATGAGGATCTGAGAATAGGTAAGGCAACTTACCAACAGGAGAATCAAGAGGAAAGACTCACCCCACCAGAGGTGAGGACAGTTTCAAAGCCGTAATGACTAGCACAGTTTCTTATACAAGAAACACTAAACAGTGAGGTCAATAGGACAGAGCTGACGGTGCAGAAACAGCCCAGGACACAGGGACTCAGTGTTAATAGGCAGAGCATCAGCACCACAGAGAACAGGTGAATTATTTGACAAATCGTGACCAAAAGATTGGCTCACTACATGGAGATATTTAAAATATTGGGTCTCTACCTTAAATCATCTTCAAAAGTAATTCCAGGCCCTGCCAGCATTGCCCAGTGGTTGAGCACTGACCTATGAACCAGGAGGTCACCGCATGCAGCTGAAGACCAAGCCTTCGTCCCTGCCTGCCAGTAAAAAATGCAATGTGCTTAATCTAACTGCTCAGCTAACTCCACCTGCTTCTCTGTTTTCACACAACAAGCCTGGAGCTCAGTCCATGGTTAGCTCATGTAATCCCATTTATTAAACTTAGCAGTCCCTGCACTGTGCAGGGTGGGGTCAGATGTACTGGCTGGACGATGGGACAGTAGTGAGACCACAGAAGGGCTGACACTGCCGTGCTGCTGAGCTCCCTGTCAGGAGCATTACCTCTCGGCGGGAAAGCACTGGCCCTGGGCCTGGCTCAGGGTCCCGGAGGGTGGCCATCAGGGCTTCCGCGGGCGCCTGTGGGTGGAGGAGGGAAAGCAGCCTCCCTGTGCTCACCGTGCCTTCCGGGTCCACGAGCAGCAGGTGCTTGGCCTGGCCGTCGTGCATGCCAGTGAGGACGAAGGAGCCCGGGTTGGTGGTGCTCTTCCTGACCAGGAAGTCCCCATCTCGCTTCAGCAGCCCCTCCGCCTCCTTCCTGCTCATCTGGCCTTGGTACCACAGCTCGGCTTTCAGCTCCTCCAGCATCTTGGCATCCGGGGCTCTGGGGGAGACGGGGCTGATGCACTCCACGGAGGCCGCCTTGCTCAGCACAGGCCCCACGGACTGGTTCTTGAGAGCATCTTCAAAGGGCTCTGCCAACAGCATTTGCCAGCGACAGGTGGACCCAGGAAGAGCAAAGGATAAACAGTACAATGTGAGGGCTGAGAAGGCAAAGGCAACGCTACCGGAAGAAAGAACCAGACAAATGACAGCTGATAATATAACGAGACGAGTCATAACAAGCATTTGAGAGTACGGCCCAAATCCTGGCGTGACTCTGGTAAGTCTGCTTTCCCAAGGCAGCTGGGCACTGTGCCTTGTGCCAAGGGCTCAAGCACACGCAGGTCTAGCTGGTTAGAATGCCTGTAGCTTTGCACGCCGCAGGAGGCCACGCATATTACATGCCGTCTACTTTCTCTGGAACGTTGGCTAGCCTCCAACAAACATGTCCTCTTCTGGATAGAAACCTGCCAAACCGAAGGAAATACGCAAAGAAAAAGACAATTTGCAAGATTTTTATTTTGTGTGAGACCTAAACCAAACGTTTATTTCAAAATCTTTGTATTGGGTGAATTTTTAAAAGAAAATAAAACTGATGTTTAATTGGGTGCCTTTTGTGTGACTTGCCCCAGGCCAGGAGCCTACCTTCTCTTGACCTCCCTGTGGGAAAAGGCTCTTGTGTGAGTGTCTGAGAGTGAGCCTGACTTCGGGCCCTTCAGAACAAACCTCTCACTGCAGGGCATCCGTCAATGGCAAGACTTCTGCTCTAACATCAACAAATAGCAGCAGCAAGCAAGTCAGCAGGCACGCCTAAGTTAATCTCAGGGTTTGATTTTCAAATAAGTAATTGGACAAACGCACCCTGAAAAAATGAGGGGAGTGCTACACAAATGTATGGTGTTATAATGACTGTGTGGGACCACACTGCCAACCCAGTCAATGCAAGCACCACGAGAACAGCATCCTCCTGGGCACAACTACACCCCAAAGCCCAACATTATTCCTGGGACATGGTTCCTGCTCCACAAACATTCAACAAATGCTGTAAAATAAGACCAACTTAGAGGATGGGCAAGAGTGAGGTGAATAAATGAAACCAAAATTAGGTCATTTGGGCACTCATTAAGTCATTTATATTTTTGGAGCAGAAAAGAAGTTAAAACTATTGATTAAATTTTTATTTTTTACCCTATCTTTTTCCTGATTACCTGGAGTGTTGAAAATTTGTATTTTACTCTTTCTACACCATCATCACCACCACCACCACCACCATCACTATCATCACCACCATTATCCTACTGTCATCATCACCATTTATCATCATCTCCACCATCACCATCACCATCATCACCATTATCCCATTATCATCACCATTTACCATCATCATCACCATCATCATCACTATTATCCCATTATTTTCATCACTATTTATCATCACCATCACCACCACCATCACCATTGTTATTCAGCTCTAGTGGTTAAAAGTAAACAACAGAGTGCTGCCTTTATTTTTTCACACTTTTCAATAGATACTAGCCTTCCAGGGCCCTTTCTTCTTTTTGCCGGGAGCAGGAGTAGAAATAGATGGATGAGAAAATGTTGGCTCTGGTTCTCATAGTTCTCATCTCAAACCCCAGGCCAATCTAACTACCCAGATCTGGGGCCAGGAATCACTGGTGAACTGACTACATTAAACAAGTACAGCCACGAAAGTGCAGTTGTGAGCATCGTGAACACTGGGGCGGCGGCTCAGCGGCTCCACCTGGCTCTGCATCTTGGGAAAGCCACCTCACACCTCACGTTACTAAAGTGAAGGGATCGGACTAGGTGACTGTGAAGGCGCCGCAAGCACTGAGATTCTACAGTTCTTCTGGTTCTGGCATCTTTGTAAGCCGGAATGGGAGTCCACGATCTGTGGAACCAAAGTGGCGGGGAGAATTAGACTTCTGTTACCATGGTGCCGCCTAATCATAAACGCACTCCATCCTGTCCTCATCACATGCACCATCACGGACAGCAGGTGTCAAGCCAGCAAGGTTGCCTTTTTCCAGCGGTAAAGTCACTTAACCTCTAGGGTTCTCTGTTCTCTCCTCTGTAAAGTGAGGATAATAACAGCAATAGTGATGATAATACAGTCATGTGTCACTGAATGATGGAGATATGCTGAGAAATGTCACTAGGCTATTTTGTCATCGTACGAATATCAGAGGGCACTCACCCAATGCAGCTGGTACTTTTATACAATTGGCAGTGCAGTAGCTTTGTTTACAACCCACTGCATCACCACAAACACATAAGTAATGTGTTGCACTATGGGACACCAATAACATCACTAGGTGACAGGAATTTTTCAACTGCATTGTAGTCTTGTGGGGCCACCATCACAAATGCAGCCTGTAGTTGATCCAAGTGTCGTGTCATTCTGTGGCACATGACTGTAGTAATAATACCTGCCTGTAGTATCATTGCAAAATTAAATTAAATAATAAGTGCATAGCCGGTGGTAGAAAGTTGTTAAATGTTAATCTCCTCCCCTCTTTAGCCTTTAAATTCTCAAGGAATTTAAAAAAGAAATTTTGGGATACAAAACTTCTTTTTTTTTAATATATTTTTATTGATTTCTGAGAGGAAGGAAGAGGGAGAGAGAGATAGAAACATCCATGATGAGAGAGAATCATTGATCGGCTGCCTCCTGCAAGGCCCCCACTGGGGGTCGAGCCCACAACCCGGGCATATGCCCTTGATCGGAATCGAACCTGGGACCCTTCAGTTCGCAGGCCAACGCTCTATCCACTGAGCCAAACCAGCTAGGGCGGGATATAAAACTCTTGTGAGCTAAGGAAGTTCTTTCAAAATTCCTTAAAAACGGCTTCCACTTCCATTAATCGGTTCATGGATGATTTAATTTTTACGACAAACAGAAATTCCTTGGCACACACCCCACCGCACTGCTATCTGAGTAGTTTCCTGCCTCTCTCTCTGTCCTATGTTTGATCCATGCACTTGTTACTAACTGCTAATACATAGTGGTGATATCAGCTCCACAGAATAGAGACGTGGCCTATTTTGTTTTTGTGTATATAGGCAAAGTGAGTAGAATGGCATTTGACACATGTTAGGTGTTCAATAGAGTAGCGGGGAGACTTGTAGTGGTAGAGAAAGAGGGAGAATAGAGAAAAATGAGAGGGAAGGCAAGCATGTGCCTGCATACGAGAAGGGTCTGCTGCAATTTCTTGCTCAACAGACGGAGAACTCTGTGAGGACATGGCCATGCCGTTACCCTTTGGCATCCTTAGCAACTGAGACAATACTTGGTATGCAATAGCCAGTGGCTATTTAAGTGAATACATAAATGAGTGCATTTATTTATGTATATTGTTTGTCTCAATACATGTGCAGTTCTTCAAGTGCTAAGTCAATGACAAAAAGAGGGGGAAATTGCTTTGTCTCTGGACAAAAGAAAGGGATGGAATCCCAAAGCAGAGGTTGGCCGAAGTTGAAAGCCTTGAGAAGCCGTCATACCCAGAAAAGTGCAGCAAACCCGGCCAGCAGCAAGTCCCGTAACCGCACAGATTTCCAATAAACGAGTAGAAAGCAACCTCAAAAGAAAAGAAAAGCGAGGCGAATGGAAACGCACTCATGTCAAAGAGGTCCTTCCTCGGGCTGCTCTCGGCGCTGTTGCCCGCAGCCGGCCCGGCCCGAGGCGGGAAGTGCGGGGTGTTCACGTAGGTGGGGGCTTCTCCTGTCGGGGCCGCCGGCGCCGTCCCTCCTGGCATGCTGGACGTGTCCAGGGACCCTGCAACAGAAAGCGAGCCCTCTTTCTCCTGATGCTAATGCTGCCCACCCATTGACAGTCACGCCCCCCGGTCTCACACAGAAGGTCCTCCAGGTTAACACAGGGACTTCTCCCGGCAGTTCCCACAGCTCACATCTCCTCTCTGACCCCGTCACAGGCACTGCTGTGTTCTGGCCAGGACACATCCACACCCGCCTGTCAGGATGCGAGCTGCCAGCCCATGCCGACGCCTGCCCCCGACGCTGGCCGGTGACGGAGAGGGAGGGTAGAGTGGAGCCCCAGGCGTGGGTCTGCTCATCCCGGTTACAGAGGCCCGAGATCGAACAACTGAGCAGAAGAGCAACAAGCTTCATTTTAATTGTCCTTTTTTCCTGTTAAGTGTAAGTGAGCGCTTTGTAAATTAACTCCATCCCGGTAATGCAATGCAGGTGCTGCCACCGTTTTAGAAAGTTACTACCTAATGAACCGAGATGCGTTCTTACAAAACAGCCCAGCGCGGGCGTGTGATTGAGCCCTCGCTGCAGGCAGGGCCGGTGTGTACTTCCTACGTGACCCACGACTGTGCCCACGCTGGGCTGGCGTCCCTGCTGTTGGCACGGGAGGAGAGCTGAAGGATGTCGCCCGATCACACCCGCCTGGGTCACTGCCTAATTCTTCCTACGGGACCCCTGACTCTAGCACATTTACACATATGTTCTCCAGATGGCTCCTGGGTGCTCCCATCTCCTGAGAGAGATCACCTTCCACACCCTCAGGGTAGTCAGCCCAGCCAGCGGGTCAGCTCAGGGCTCTGGAAGAAGCGCTCCCCAGAGCCTGCTGCTGGGCTTTCGGCAGCACATCACTGTCTGCCTCATGCTGAGAACGCAAGTGTCCCTCCGCTTCCTTCAGGGCGAGTGCCCCAGCAAAGTCTGAACTGCCCCTCGTCTGCTCCTGTTCTGCACAGGCTCCCGCGCCCACAGGCGGCCCTGGGTGCATGTCCTGCTCCAGCCGGGGCTCTCTGCAGCTCACATGTGTGTGGGCCTTGCAAACAGATCAGCCTGTAAAACGAATTTTACAGACTAATTTTTAAAAGGAGAAGATGAAAAGCCCAATGAACAGCTTTCCTGACCGCGACCCTTTGCTACTCACACGGTGGCAGGTGCGGAGCCGGGGCCCTGGACGCGCACGCCATGGCGGCACCGAAAGTTCATTTTAGGGGAATAGCTGCTAGCAAACTAACGAGAAACATTCTTAATTGTTTCATGAAAAAAGGTATTTATTGCTTTCAAATGAGAACTTGAAATTTATTAAGAATAATGAGTCTCAAGTTGTAGGCCAGGAACTTACATACGGCTGATCTGCCCTGATGAACCTCTTGCGTGGTCTGTTCTTGATCTGGCCAGACTAACACACAGAAACAGACCTCGTTTTCTAAATAAACCTAACTTTTTTCAATAAAGTAAATATCTAACATAAATAATGTGTCTCCTTACATGTCTAGGTGTATACATGTTATGTAAATACTTTTTTAAAACTATCAACCGAATTATTGTTTTACTTTTTTTGTAAGAGGAGAAGCCTTTCCAAAAAATGTGTCTTTATTGTTGAAAGTATTACAGATGTCCCTCTTCCCCCCAGTGACCACCTCCAGCCGTCCTTGTCTACCCCCCACAGGCCTACTGCACTATAGTCTATGTCCATAAGTTATGCATATGTTCATATCAGTTCTTTGGTTAATCTCTTCCTGCCTTCCCTTCCCTCAGAGATTCTACAGTCTGTTCCATGCTTTCATGTCTCTGGATCTATTTTATTCATCAGTTTAGTTTAGTTCATTAGATTCCACATATGAGTGAGATCATGTGATACTTGTCTTTCTCTGACTGGCTTATTTATTTTAAATGTCTGTGGAACAAAGATGAAAACATAGTAAAAAACTGCCTCTGACAAAATTATGACTTTAATTTGCTATATCCTTCCTATTCTGACACAGAGCCATGTGGTGGCTTCTGACAGGTGTCATGTTCAACTGACCAGGCCAGCATGATGGGTCATCTTTCAGCTGGGGCATGCAACATGTGAAATTCTCTCACAAGAAGGGAATTTTAAAACGTTATTGTCATTACACAATGATAAATGGATCAATCCAACAAGAGGATATAACCCTTGTAAACAATTATGCACCCAATACATGAGCACCTAAAAATATAAAGCAAATATTTTTAATCATTATTTCTTATTGGTACCACTTAATGTGAAGAAAACGTGCATTTTCCAAAAATGTGGGAAAATGTTTCATTTGCCTTATTGGGTTAGGTTTAAATTATTTTACTATGCAAGCTTTCTGTCATATCTTGGCAGTAGTTATTTCCATTTTTATTCTTTGGTATCCATAATCTTATCAGAATAAAAAATGTATGCCTTGAGATCACTGGACAGCTCCTCCTCCAACATTTTAAAAATGTGCAATGAAGGTTATTGTGCTGGTAACTAAATAACAGTAATAATATGGGAGAGAATTAAGAGGACATCTAGGCTGATGGCAAAGAGGTTCAACGGTGCAGACATAAAGGGAGAGATTGACAGTAATACAGTCATAGTAGGGGAATTTAACACCCCACTGACATCAATGGACAGGTCTTCTATATGGAAAATCAACAAAGAAACAGTGGCCTTAAATGACACATTAGATCAAATTGATTTAAATTATGTTTTCTAGAGCATTTCACTCCAAAGCAGCAGAATATACATTCTTTTCAAGTGCACATAAAACAATTTCCAGGATAGGCCACATGATAGGCAACAAAATAAGTCACAGTAAATTTAAGAAAACTGTAATCTGCCCTGACCGGTTTTGCTCAGTGGATGGAGTGTCGGCCTGCGGACTAAAGGGTCCCGGGTTCGATTCCGGTCAAGGGCATGTACCTTGGTTGCAGGCACATCCCCGGTAGGGAGTGTGCAGGAGGCAGCTGAATCGATGTTTCTCTCTCATCGATGTTTCTAACTCTCTATCCCTCTCACTTCCTCTCTGTAAAAAATCAATAAAATATATTTTTTTAAAAAAGAAAATAAAACTGTAATCCTATCAAGTACCTTCTCTGACCACAATGGTAAGAAATCAGAAATCAATTAAAAGAAAAAAACTGAAAAACACACAAACACATGGAGGCTAAATAACATGTTACTAAACAATAAAGGGTTAACAGTGAAATCAAGGAGGAAATCAAAAGACACCTGGTGACAAATAAAAATGGAAACACAACAACCCAAAATCCATGGAATGCAGCAAAAGCAGCCCTAAGATGGAAATTCATAGGAATACAGGCCTAACTCAAGGAGCAAACAATCTCAAATAAACAATCTACTCTTATACCTACAGGAACTAGAACAACAACAAACAAAGCCCAAAGTGAGTAGAAGGAAGGAAATAATAAAGATCATATCAGAAATAAACAAAATAGGGTCTAAAAAAACAATACTAAAGATAAATGAAACCAAGAGCTGGCTCTTTGCAAAGATAAACAAGACTTATAAACCTTAAGCCAGACTCATAAAGAAAAAAGAGAGAGGACCCAAATGCATAAAATCAGAAATAAAGGAGGAAAAGTGACAGCAGACATCATAGAAATAAAAAGGATTATAAGAAAATATTATGAACAATTATATGCCCACAAGTTAGACAACCTGGAAGAAATGGATAAATTCCTAAAAACATACAATTTCCAAGACTGAATAAAAAAGAAACAGAAAATTGGAACAGACCAATTACTTCCAACAAAATCAAAACAGTAATTAAAAATACTCCCTACAAACAAAAGTACTAGACCTATGGCTTCAATGATGAATGTTACCAAATATTCAAAGAAGAATTAACAACTAATTTTTTCAAACTATCCCAAAAAAAATTCAAAAGGAGGAAAGTTTCCCAAGCTCATTTTATGAGGCCACCATTATCCTGATTCTAAAACCAGACAAAAAAAACATTACAAAAGAAGAAAATTATAGACCCATATCCCTGATGAATATAGATGCAAAAATTCTCAATAAAATATTAGCAAACCAAATTCAGCAATACAATAAAAAGATCAAGTGGGATTTTTCCGGGATACAATGTTTGGCTCAATATCTGCAAATCAATTAAGTTAATACACCACATAAACAAAATGAAGGGTAAAAAATCGTAAGACCATATCAGTACATGCAGAAAAAGCATTTGACAAAATCTGGCATCCATTTATGACAAAAACTCTCAGCAAAATGGAAATCAAGGGCGTATACCTCAACATAATAAAGGCCATACATGACAAACCCATAACTAACATAATACTCAATGGGAAAAAGCTAAAAGTGTCTTCCTTAAAATCAGGAACAAGACAGGGTTGTCCACTTTCACCACTTTTATTCAACATAGTATCAGAAGTTCTAGCCACAACAATCAGATAAGAAAAAGAAATAAAAGGCATCCAAATTGGAAAGGAAGAAATAAAACTGTCACTATTTGCAGATGACATGTTACTACATATAGAAAACCCTAAAGATCCTACCAAAAAACTATTAGAGCTGATAAATAAATTCAGTAAAGTAGTAGGGTACAAAATTAATATTCAGAAATAAGTTGTATTTATATACCAATAATGAACTATCAGAAAGATAAACTAAAAAAAATCACATTTACAGTTGCATTTTAAAATACCTAGGAATAAATTTAACCAAGGAGGTAAAAAAAAAAACCTATAGTCAGAAAATTACAAGGCATTGAAGAAAGATTTTTGAATTGGATACAAATATATAGAAGCAAGTACCATACTCGTGGAAAGAAAAAAATTAACATTGTTAAAATGTCCATACTACTCAAAGCAATCTATAGATTCAATGCAATCCCTATCAAAATTCTAATGACATTTTTCACAGAACTAGAACAAAAAAATCCTAAAATTTATATGGAATCACAAAGGACTCTGAATAGCCACAGCAATCTTGAGAAAGAAGAACGAAGTTGGAGGTATCATGTTACCTGGTATCAAACTATACTACAAGGCTTTAGTAAGCAAAAAAGCTTGATACTGGCATAAAATCAGCCATACAGATCAATGGAACAGAATAGAGAGCCCAAAAATAAACCCACGCCTATATGGTCAATAAATATATGACAAAGGAGGCAAGAACATACAAAGAGGTAAAGACAATCTACTCAATAAATGATGTTGGGAAAGTTGGACCGATACATGCAAAAAATGAAATGAGACTACCTTTTTATACCGTATACAAGAATAAACTCAAAATGAATTAGGGATTTAAATGTAATACTCAAAACCATAAAACTCCTAAAGAAAACATAGGCAATAAACTCTGACATTGCTCTAGTAGTATTTTTTCTGATATACCTCCTCACTCGAGGAAAACAAAAGAAAAAAATAAACAAATGGGACAAGTTTTTGCACAGAAAGGAATTCATGAACAAAACAAAAAGACAACCAACTGAATGGGAGAAGATATCTGCTAATGATACATCTGATAAGGAGTTAATCGCCAAAATTTATAAAGAACTCATACAACTCAACACCAAACAATAAACAATTCAATTAAAAAATGAACAGAGGACCTAAATAGACACTTCTCCAAAGAGGACATACAGATGGTCAACAGACAAATGAAAAGATGCTCAACATCAATAATAGAAATGCAAATTACAACCACAATGAGTTATCACCTCACATCTGTCAGAATGGCTATCATCAATAAATCAAGAAAAAAGTGTTGACAAGGATGAGGAGAAAATTGTACTATTGGTGGGATTGCAAATTGGTACAGTCACTATGGACAACAGTATGAATGTTCCTCAAAAAATCAAAAATAAAACTACTTTTGATCCAGCAATTCTACTTCTGGGTAGCTATCTGAAGAATCCAAAGCACTAATTCAAAAATATATGTGCAGCATATGTATTTTCAGCACAATTTACAATAGCCAAGAATTGGAAGCCACCTGAGTAATCACCAATACATGAGTGGATAAAAAAGTTATTACCTATGGAATATTACTCAGCCATAAAAAAGAATGAAATCTACCATTTGCAATCACATGAATGGATCTAGAGAGTATTATACTGAGTCAGACAGAGAAAGACAAATACCATATAGTTTCACTTATATGTGGAATCTAAAGAACAAAACAGAAACAGACTCATAGGTACAGAGAACAGACTGTTGGCTGCCAGAGGAGATGGGAGTTGGAGAGCTGGGTGAAAGAGGAAAGGGATTAAGTACAAACTGGTAGTTACACAATAGCCAAGGGGATATTAAGCATAGCACAGTCAATAATATTATAACAACTAGCATATGGTGCCAGGCAGGTACTAGACTTATCGAAGGAAACACTTTATATATCAGGTACTTGTCTAACCCAGCCGTGGGCAAACTACGGCCCGCGGGCCGGATCCGGCCCGTTTGAAATGAATAAAACTAAAAAAAAAAAAAGACCATACCCTTTTATGTAATGATGTTTACTTTGAATTTATATTAGTTCACACAAACACTCCATCCATGCTTTTGTTCCGGCCCTCCGGTCCAGTTTAAGAACCCATTGTGGCCCTCGAGTCAAAAAGTTTGCCCACCCCTGGTCTAACCACTATGCTGTACACTTAAAATAATGCTGAATGTGAACCATAATTGAAAAATATAATTTTTAAAAATGTATTGTAATTTACTCCCAGAAGAAATGGCTACAATAAGGGAAAAACCTTAACATTAAACCAAGAAATGGTTAAATTTATATACATAGAAGCATAAATTGCATCTTAATTCATTTGTCACTCCACCTCCTTTAGACCCCGCAGAGTGCGTAGCCAGAGGCATGGAGCTAGTGAAGGAGTTATAGAAGTGCCTGAAGGGGGGGGGGGGGAGTTTAAAATGAAAAGAAACCTTTAAAACACACAAAATACACACACACACACACAACTATAATAATAAAAGTGTAATATGCAAATTGACTGAATGATTGAACAACAGAATGACCGTCTGGACGACCTTCCGGAAGACCACACTATGACACAGCAGCCGGGGGAAGGAAAGCCCTGATAGGCCCTGATCACCGGCCAGGCCTAGGGACCCTACCCGAGGGGTCCCGGACTGTGAGAGGGAACAGGTCGGGATGAGGGACACCTCCCTAACCCCCCACTGCATGAATTTCGTGCACTGGGCCTCTAGTATATATATATATGTATCTGTGTGTGTGTGTGCATGTGTGCGTGCGTGTGTGTGTGTGTGTGTGTGTGTGTGTGTGTGTGTGTGTACAGAGCTGTCTATAGAATGGAGACTTACGTTAGCAGTTAGTTATTAGTCACGTGTGAATTATTTTTAATGTGGGAGCATGCTCACTGATTTGATAACAGGTGGCAGTGTTCTCTACATGTAGCCCGGGCCCAGAGGGATGCATCTGGAGCCCTCTCTGCCTCCAGTAGCTGCCACTCTCCTCCTGAAGTTGACCCTGGAGCAGGTGGGGTGTGGCAAGGGCAGGAAGAGAACACTGCTACTAGCTCCTGTGAGGAACCACTGGGCTCACCCCCGCTGGGGAGCTCGGGGACAGCATGAAACACTTGAGTCTCCCAGCCAACTCCCTTTTGAAATGGGTGGGGGTGCCCTTGGAGAGGTCAGTTCCTCAGCCCTCCTGCAGTAAGTGCTAAAGGATAGGAACCGGTCCTGTTGTCAGGGGAGCCACCATTGATATGTGGCACCCCCACAGCCCTTACTTTATATCTTCCTATGATCTGGGCAGGAATCTGCAGCCCCCCCACCCCCTCAGCAGACTTTTGCAGTAAGTTTTCCTGCCCCTCCACAGGAGATGAAGTACCACCAGGGAGACGTTACTTTTGTCTTGGGTTTTTTTAACAGGGATGTGCAAACCAACTTTATATGTAATGCCCACAAACTGGAAACAAATATCAGTCAACAGGTAAACACAGTGTAGGATATTCACACAATGGAATACCAGTCATCAAGCAAAAGGAAAAAACTATGGATACGTGCAGCGACAGGAGTGAATCTATAAATAGTTTGTTGAGTGAAAAGAAGTCAGACGAAAAAGAATGCATATGTATAAATGATATGTACATAAAAGTCTAGAAAATGCAAACGAATCTACATAAACATATAAAGCAGGACGGAGGAGGGGCAGGGAGGACCAGGAGGCAGCACGTGACATTGGCGTGTTTTCATGTTGCTGCCCTCACTGCCTCGCCGCTCACCTTGCCTGGCAGGTGTTTGCTGCCAGTCTTCGCCAAACGGCTCTCCTACGTGTCTTCCCTGGTAATAAGTTTGCTCTTTTCCTGAAAACTGTAAACACAAAGAGAGAAAAATGATGCTCTTCTTCTTTCCCGTCTCCAAAAGCCACGGTCCTGCAGAAGGGACAGCGGTGGCCAGGCAGCTGCATCCCCGATCGCACACCACCTTCCCTCCATGCCTCCCATTTGGCACCAAGAATTAGGAAATAAATGTGTGTGGGTGTGAGGAAGAGACTGCATCTCCAAAAACTACACATTCCCCCCTGTTTTCATCCCCTGAGTCCCCTTCCACCAGCCCGTCCCCACTCAGTGGCGGAACCACGGACCCTGCATTTCGATGTTATTTTGTCACTGTTATCAGTGTCATTACTGTTCACTAAGGCAGGTGACATCAGAAACTCTCCACAGATATACATTAGCTCTACAAAACAATCGCCTTCCTAGAATGTTTATTTGGAGGTAAAATCAGGGAAATGACTAAAATAGAAAAAAATCATAAAATTCTCACCTATGTCCACTGTCTTTTCAGAGAAACCAAAGCACCCAGGCTTCTTAAAAGCCTTGAATCCTCTCCTCTCCTCATGAGGACTGCAGTGTAATGAGCTGTGAACAGTATAGTCTCAAGGTATTTGACTAAGACCCTGTGATGTTAAAACAAAAGCCTCCCCTATTTGTCTGCTTCGTGAAATCCAAGGGGGGGAAGCATGTGTGTTATTCTGTCAAAGACTGAACAGAACAGTCACCTGAAAATAAAGCCAAGAAATCTAAAAGGAAATACAGTAAAACCTTGATGTAATGGACTAATTTGGGTGAGAGGGTGTGCGTTAAAGGAAAAAATCCGTCATATAATAAAGTAGGTTTTCTGAATGTGTATGTTTAAAAATGATAAATTAGCCCAGCCAGTGTGACTCAGTGGTTGAGTGTCTATGAACTAAGAGGTCACAGTTCAATTTCTGGGGGTCAGGGCACATGTCCAGGTTGTGGGCTCAATCCCCAGTAGGGGGCGTGCAGGAAGCAGCCAATCAATGATTCTCTCTCATCATTGATGTTTCTATCTCTCTCTCCCTCTCCCTTCCTCTCTGAAATCAAAAAATATATATATTTTAAAAGTTGACAAATTATTTTACCTGTTTTTACTTACGTAGACACATTTGTAATTAAAATTAAGTATGTATGAAAAGTTTAACTTCACAGCAAGTTTTCTATATGTATTATAGGAAATGCATGCATTCACCAGTCACTGAGAGTAAACAAATGCTTAGCACACATGTGCACATGGGCCTACACCAGTGATGGCGAACCTTTTGAGCTCGGCGTGTCAGCATTTTGAAAAACCCTAACTTAACTCTGGTGTCGTGTCACATATAGAAATTTTTTATATTTGCAACCATAGTAAAACAAAGACTTATATTTTTGATATTTATTTTATATACTTAAATGCCATTTAACAAAGAAAAATCAACCAAAAAAATGAGTTCACATGTCACCTCTGACACGCGTGTCATAGGTTCGCCATCACTGGCCTACACACTTTAAAACTGCTGCAGAGAGTCACGCCAGGTGACAACAGAACCCATTACCGTGTGCTATGGTGCGATTACGTGGTAATCATTAGCCAAACACTTTACCAGCGGTGACTCTTGGATGTAAATATGTAGACTATGGTTGTAGATATTCAATATTTATCTATGTTGGTGAGATTATTACAGTATTTTTTCCAACATATGTCCTGTTTGTTTAAAATAACAGTGAATTGATAACAAAAAATAATCTGTTAATTTAATTATAAGCAAATATTGGTTTAAAGCATGTTAAAATTAATAGGGTGTTAATTTTCACATATGCGATATGGACTGGAAATTTTGTCCATTAAATCAAAGTCTGTTAAATCGAGTCTGCAAAACCGAGGGTTTACTATAAAGTTCAATTAGCCAGCATGCCAAGAAAAAGTACAAAACGAACCGGGGCTGAGTCAGGGCCGTGGGGCCGGGCCTTCGGGCGGGCATCCACAAACGCCCCGGCGGGAGGCGTCTTGTTTGGGATGCTGTTGTAGTACGGGTGGTCGGAGCCGTCTCCCTCCTCTTCGGTCCAGGGCTCATCCAGACTCTGCATTCTGTTAAAAGAGAATTTTCCAGAGCGTTAGCCAAAGTTGAGCTTCTAGTCAAAACCATCACATCTAATGTTAATTAATACCTGTCACCCCAGAAAAGTGAATTTAGTCACTGCCCCTTCAACCATGTAGGTCTCAGGCATATATATGAAAAGCATATTAGTGGTTTAGTCAAATATCTCTGCCTATTCACAGATCTATCCTTTGGAAAATTCCAATCATATTTGAAACAAGAAAAAAATCATTGTTTTAAAGTACATTTTAATTGGAAAGAAAAAGTTTACATGTAAAGACAACCAGTTCCTCAAAGCACAGACACACATTTTGGTAAATTATAAAATGTACCCAAAGCAAAATCAACTAAAAATTAAACATTTAGTGACATCATGGAAAATGACAGGGTATGACCTCTGAAAATTTTCTCTTCCATGAAAGCAAAACATAACTGGTAATAAATAAATAAATGAATAAATGAATATTATATATATATATATAATAACTATTTTAAACCCTAGAAATTAACCAGAGGCTTGCAACAACCTAGGGAGTGTTTATTTTGTTTTTTAAGCAAATAAAAAAAACTGTAAGAACAGCAGCTTTGGGGCATTTTAATTTGCCTTATTCCCATCTCCACAGTAGTCTTGAAAACAAACAGTTTACAATCACAGAGAAAACCAGTAGCCTGATAACCATAGGAGGGGACAAAACAGCACTGAGTCTCTTTCAAAGCCCCATTCCCAGCGCACAATCATTATGTACACTGTCTAGTCACTCCTTGGAAGAGGTCACTCCTAAGGCTGTCTCAAATAGAGCGGGTTCAGAGCTTGCCCAGGGGGAAAATGCCTCTTACCCTGGGACATTTGTCAAAAACAATTAATTACAGGCAATTGTTTAACAACATGGCACCCTGAGGCAGTATAACATTTGGGGCAAAAAATAGGCTAATCAAAAGCTTAAAAAAAAAAGAGGCTAGAAAATAGAATGTCTGTAAGAACTTTGATAAATTTCAACATATTTCCGGGAATCTAGAAGGCCACGTGTATTCTTAGGACTCTGTTCTTATCCAAGGATGTATGCCTGCTCAGGAAAGATTCAAAAAGGCCCTAGTCTCACCTCTGGCTTACCTTGAAGCTATGCGCAAACAGGAAGTGAAAGTTAAGGCAGAATTGCCAACTGCCTAGCTGAGTGTTGAAAGGGTGCCCCCACACTCAAAGAGTTCTAGGAAATTACAGGCAATTGTTTAACAACATGGCACCCTGAGGCAGTATAACATTTGGGGCAAAAAATAGGCTAATCAAAAGCTTAAAAAAAAAAGAGGCTAGAAAATAGAATGTCTGTAAGAACTTTGATAAATTTCAACATATTTCCGGGAATCTAGAAGGTCACGTGTATTCTTAGGACTCTGTTCTTATCCAAGGATGTATGCCTGCTCAGGAAAGATTCAAAAAGGCCCTAGTCTCACCTCTGGCTTACCTTGAAGCTATGCGCAAACAGGAAGTGAAAGTTAAGGCAGAATTGCCAACTGCCTAGCTGAGTGTTGAAAGGGTGCCCCCACACTCAAAGAGTTCTAGGAATTTAAGGAAATCTCTAATCATTAGTTTTCTAATAATTGAACTGAACAGAGTTGTCAGCGGCCATATCTGACAAAGAGTACAGAGTTATGGATTTAGTTTAGAAAAGTTTAGAAAAGAAACAACCACTAAAAAAGCAACAACAAATCCTGAGGAGGGGAGAAATCTGATTTGCAGAGTTAGCACATTATATTATTTAAAATCTCTAGCTTCAACAACAAACATTTCATGAGACATGCAAAGAAACACAAGGATTAAAAGCAATCGATAGAAACTGCCCCTGCGGAAACTCAGATTTTGGACAAAGGATCTTCAATAATATTCACAGCTGACTTTATTCTCAGAAACAATGAAGGCCAGAAAGCAGTGGGATGGCATATTCAAGTACTGAAGGAAAAAGACTGTCTACCAACTACTCTATGCCCAGTAAAACTATCCTTCCAAAATGAAACAAGAAATAAGACATTTCCAGATAAATAAAAACTGAAAAAATTCATCACTACTAGATCTGCACCACAGTTAATATGAAAGGAAGTACTTCAGGCTGAAATGAAAGAACACCAGATGGTAATACATATCCACATGAGGAAACAGAGAATGGTAGCACAAAATTAAATTTCTTTAAACTTTATTATATAGAAACACATATGGGACTTCATGCCTTACGTTTATTCCCAGGGAAGCATGGTAGTTCAATCAACTCCGAGCACCCATTTTTATACACATTGTTTAAATAGTGTTTATTTGACTTTTACATAACATTTCAAAAGTACAGAAAATTATAATTAATGTAAAAGATACTTACACTTCCACCACTGAAACTAAACAGCGTGAACATGTTGCTGTATTTGCTTCCTTTTTTTTCAGAGGGAAAAAAATTTGTCAAACTTACTTTGGATGAATAGATATGTGAAATTAACAGTAAAATGTTAATGAGGAAGCTAGATGATGGGCATAAAGGTGTTCACTGCACATTGTTTTTGTATATTGGTACCTTTTCTTTATGAAATGGTAAGGAGGAAATACACTGGACCAGGTGAAAGCTCACTCCACGCCCACTCCATCCTTGCGTGTCCTAGAGTTGGTGTAATATTTCTGCATGTTTTTATATACATGCATTTATACATAAACTATGTATAGAACTGTTTGTGTCTTTAAATTTTTCATAAATGGTTAATATTTTTTTCACTCCATTAAAAAATTCTGCCATTTTTTTCTGATAATACTCATATGCCAATGTATTCTTTGTAATGACTATATCCCATTATATATAGAATCTGAAAGTTTGTTCATTCATCCCCTGCAAGGCCATCTGCCCTGGGGCACTGTCACTTTCTCACTCTAACTCTCCTTACACATGCAGCTCGCCTGAGCTTGTGAGAGCTTCTGGCAAAGGGGAAAGTGGGGCCTTCACAGGCACCTCCAAAAGGAACGTCTTAGAGAAATGTTCCCGTGGATGAGAAAATTAGAAGTCTCTTTCGAAAAAGGTGAAAGCTTCATAGAGATGACAAAAATCTTCAAAAGAATGAAGGCAAAGGGACACTGCTTCCATGACTAAGTCCCGAATGTGGCTGCAGGAGTTGGAAAAGGCATGCAAAGTAAACTTGGGAGAAACAAAGCAAAGTTTTACTGGCAGTGAACACACCACGGTGATAGATAGGCCTTCAGTATGAAAGGTTGGTAAGGACAGCCTACCGAGTGACCACGATGCCCTGGGTTACCTTTTTTTATGCTGCATGGAATATCCTTATGTCCTAAAGGTATTCAATGGTCAATCCTGAACATCCTATATAATAAAAGGCTAATATGCAAATAGACCAAACAGCAGAACGACCAGTTGCTATGATGCGCATTGACCACCAGGGGGCAGACACTCAATGCAGGAGCTGCCCCCTGGTGGTCAGTGTGCTCACACAGGGGGAGTGCCACTCAGCCAGAAGCCGGGCTGACGGC